ATCAATTAATAATTCAGGATCCTCAAAAACATAACTCTTCCTCCGGTGTGTACAATCGAGCCGGTGTCGTCCCGTGATCCTGAGAGAAACCTGAAACACATAACACATAACACAGTAAGCACGAAGCTTAGTGAGTTCCCCAAAATACCACATATAACACATATTAGCCACTCGAGGCTATAACTCTGTGGGCCCTCTGGCCCTAACTCTGTTGACCCTCTGGTCCTAACTCTGTGGACCTTCTAGTCCTAACTCTGTAAACTCAGGAACATGCACAGCATAAATCACATAGAAATAATGCAGTGCAACACATAACATACATAGCATATAAGATACTCTGTCACATAACTCTGGTTACCTACTCAAGGTAAAGTATAGTGAGAAGACTCACCTCGCATGAAGAATCAACCTCTAGTCATGCTGCTGCTTAACACCGTCCTCTAACTCTATGTCAAATCCCACAATTAACCCAGTTAGGAACTAAGTCCACCCTCTCACTTACTAGGTCTAAAGATGGGCCATCTACCGCCCTATCAATGCCCTAACCCATTGGGTTCACCGAGGCCCAATAATAAATGGGCTTTCCCCAAGGCCCAACCTCACCCTACAAACAAGCCCAACACTTAAGGCCTAAATATCGACTCTAGTCCAAAAGCCCACAGAGGGGTTACGCGGGGCGTACCTCCTTGGTACGCTCAGCGTACACAAACGTCCAAGAAACTGATCGGGGACCTCAACCCAGTACGCGGGGCGTACATGAATTACGCGGCGCGTACCCTCAGTCTTGCTTAATCCATTTTCTGGGTCTTAACCCGTTAAGACCTTAACTCATCTCTTGGATCTGGACTTCCTAACATCTCTTACTCCATAAAGTTAACAACTTTAAGCCTTTGCAGGCTGATAAGTTCACAACACATAAAAACTCTTACTTTCTTAACCCAATAAGCTCATAACTCATGCATGGGTTGATTCTCACGATCAAGACCTCATTTTTATGGTTCTTCACCACTAGAAACACTTAAAAGGGCAGGTTAATAAGCTCTGGAGTGCATCAACTCAAAAATCCTCAAGCTTGGGACCAAAAACCCTAAAATGGACCCTAAAATGCACAAAACAAAAGATTAGGAAAGCTTGGAGCTTTATACCTTCAAATGGTGCTCTAGCCCCAGGAAAACTCAGATCCACAGCCTGAACTTCAACTTCACTCTCTTCCATGCTCCTTCTTAACTCCCAAAAGCCCACATTAACACATATGAGCTCAACATGGCCACACACAAGCTCAAGAACGGATATTAGGGTTTGAGAGGGTTTACAAACTGAAGAAGGTGGCCAGAAATGAGACTATCTCATTCTTTATATAGGGACACTTCGTTTAATTAGGGGTTCCTTCTGTGCCTAGTACGCCCAGCGTACTAGGTGGCCCTTGCGTCCAAACCACGCTCATAGGTACGCTAAGCGTTCCCTTACTTACGCCCAGCGTACCCGGTTGACACCCTTTTCTCAATAAGGACCAAACTCGTCATAACTTCCAAACTATCATGGCCTCTCGATATAATCTTTGATTCCACAAATCCTCATACCTACGGAAAGGTAATGAGACGCCCCTCGCCTCTGGCAACTCACCTCAACCCGAGACTTCCTCGTGCCCGACACGTGACCCACGAACCCTAATCATGGATATTCCGAAACAGGATGTTACAGGCAAAACTTTGTATTCCTTGCCCTATTTGGCCTCCTTCACCCGAGGCCCATCTCATAACCAAATTAAGGCCCAAGTCCATCCATTTAAACCTTAAGGCCTAATAAGGCCCTATACAATAAATCCTAGGTTTAGGCCTAGAGGCCTTACTCCACAGTGGGTCATGAGGCCCAATAAATTTAGGCCCAACATCCTAAGGCCCAAAAACACAATTGACCACTCTGCATGCGTACGCACGGCGTACCTGGCATGTACGCCCAGCGTACGCTGGCCTTGACCACTTCGGAGAGGTTAACCCAGTACGCGCAGCGTACTAGGGGTACATCTGGCGTACTGGCCAGCCACCCAAGAGACTTCCTTGTGACTTAATCCATTAAGTCCAAACGTCCAAAACATAGATCCAGGCCCTTTTAGACGTCCTAAACCATAAAGTTACAAACTTTATGTCTTTGCATGGATGGATGGAGTTAAGACATGAATTAAGTCCTTAATCACACTTTGTGGCCATCTAACACTTACAGGGTTGTGGATTAACCATCAAGGTCCGATTTTTATGGTTATAAATGCTTCCAAGAGCTCAAAAGGACAGCTCTTATGGACTGAAACTACCCGAATACAAGAAACCTCAACTTTGGAGCCAAAATGCCACATAAAACACCCCAAAACCATAACTAAGCATGCAATGGTCAAGGGTAAAGCTTGATACCTCAAATGAGTCAGAATAGATACCAAAGATCTACAAGTTCTCTTTACGTTCTTGCTCCTTCTCCTAACTCTTTCTTCTTCAAAACCACCAAAAATCACCCAAAAGTGCACCAAAATTAGCTTACAAGGCATGCAAGAGGCTTAGGGTTCGATTTATACTCTTTGAGGACAATGGAGACTGAGAGAATGAAGGTTGGGGTGGACATAAGGTCTTTATATATGGTGCAAACCCTAAAATTTAGGGTTTGCAACTGAACAGATTACGCCCAGCGTACGCAAGGTTTCTCATCGCTTCGCGCCTCAAACATGTACACTGTACGTACACTATGTACGCCAGCGTACGACCTTCCTCAAAAATCACAATATAAAACACTTAAATAAATCGAAGGAAAATACATGGCGACTCGGGCATTACACGTTTGATTGCCTAGTCATAATGCATTTTTCCTTAATTAATTTTCACAGCTAAAATTTTCTTGTAATCTACACATGCCAGTTACCCAATGGGTAAGGTTTGAACAAATCATTTACTTTGTTGGTGGTTTTTGTACAAAGCCCTTAATTGCATAGTGTTTGTTTGAACATGTTAAACTTGGTTGGTGTTTAATAATTTTGAAACTTAATTACCCTTTTAAGTTATTTTCCCTTAAAAAAATCCCAAACGTTTGTAAAAGTCATGACTATATCTTTGAACAAAAAAAATGGTTATATCTTTGGGACTTTTTACCAAACAAAAAATTTTCATCTTGTTGCAGGGTTTTTTCTGAGATATGAAGTTTTTTAACGGTTTTTACAGGGCTTTTCAACAACTTATTATACAAGTCTAAGAATATAAATATGCAAAACTTTTATTGATATCTGCTGGAATGTTAAGTTTAGCCAATGCTGATGTTACGGAGGTTTGTTATCTGCAAGAATTGGTTTACTATCCACCTTTTTCAATCAAAAATGTGGGTATCAAAGCTAATCCATCGAACCCATTATTTGAATCAACTAAGGCAAAAAATCAAATAGGATGGAAATAAATAAATTTGCTTATCACGATGAATTATATTTGTTCGATATAATATCATTATCATTATATACTTATAAAGTTTGCATTTTTTCTTGAACTACATTCATTTGAAACTCACATGCATTTTTTCCTTTCACCACATTCATTTGAAACTCCTATGACTTTTCAATTTCTTTCTAATAATTATTATAAGTTGGTTAATAAGGTTAAATAAATATCAAACATAAAGTGTAATCATATATAAACTAAATTTCAATATTAAAAAAATATATTTTCTTCTACTTATAAAGTTTGTTTTTAACTTTTAACATATTATACTTAATTTATTAGGTCTAATATGTTGTATGTAAACCATTATCATTCTAAAGCTACAACTTTTAATAATTTGTATAAAATACTTAAATTATTAATTTAAATATAACCTTACAGGATCAACTTAAATATAAAATTTAGTTCAACTTAAACAACCCAATGAATATTTTGTAAATAGTTAAAAGTGATAAATTGTAGTGTCTTTCTAATAATGATTATAAATTGGTTAATAAGGTTAAATAAGTATCAAACCTAAAGTGCAATAAAAAATAAACTAAATTTCAATATTAAAATAGTATTTTTACTTCTACTTATAAAGTTATGTCTTCAACTTTCAACATATTATACTTAATTTATTAGATTTAATATGTTGTTGTACGTAACCATTATCAGTTTAAAGCTACAACTTTTGAACTGTATGGAAAAAAATACTTAAATTGTGAATTTAAATATAACATTACAAGGTCAACTTCAATATAAATTTCAGTTTCACTTAAGAAATTCTAAAGAATATTTTGTGAATAGTGAAAAATGATAGATTGTAGTGCTAAATGCAAGAATATTTTGTGAATAGTGAAAAATGATAGATTGTAGTGCTAAATGCAAAAACTAAATGGTAATATCAATTCACTAAAATATTTTCTAAATATATTTTTATAATCGTTAAAAGTTTCGAAATAAATAGCTTAAAATAACTTACAATAACAATAGTTAAAAATAACTCTATATAAATGATTATACTGTTACCTTTAAAATAAATAAAAAATTGTTTGATGTTTTAAATGATTACACCGATGGAAATTAAAACGTTAAGAAAATAAATTTTAAAAATGAATTAACAATAACAACTCTACATAATATTAAACCATATATTACATTTAATTTTATTCATAAGTAACCTGTAGGTAGAGGTCATTCAAAAGATTGAGATTATACAGTTTTAATAGATATATATATTATCATATAATTCAAAATAATCAATATACAATATCAACTTCGTATACGAATTATTATATCAAATTTAACAATGACATTATTGTTATATTTAAAAAAACATATATTTGTAAAGATTTCAGCTATATAGATGCTTCTGCGCAACGCGCGGGCATTCGCCTAGTTGTCAAAAGGGTAAGAAAAGATTACAGTGAAAAAAATAAAAGTTGAAAAAAAGATAAAAGGATATGTTTGTAATTCACCAGATAACAAATATTTTCTAGCAAACAGCCTAAAGGATTTTAATTTTCTTAAATTCCAAATACATGCAACCCCTTAACAATCAGGAGAAAGGAATTTAGCCATAAGTAGCCTCTTCATCTTAGGCCAATTAATTGGACTTTTTTCATCAACTTGCATGCTTATATCTCGGATACGTTTCCACCATTTGGAAGCCTCTCCATCTGGCAGAAATTTGCAGCTGACTACATCTACTTGTTCATCTTCTGGGACAAAACAATAATCAAAAGCATTTTCTACATCTTCTAGCCAACGGCAAAAGCTACGAAGATCAAAATGCTCACTAAAAGGTTTTATAAGTAACTGTCGTTCGATTAGATTTTTTGGAATAATAGACGGAAGATGTTGCGTTTTTAGAAAATTTGGCAACTCCCCATCCAGATATACGACACGATCACCCAGTCTTTCCATCGTTTTTGACATGGACACAACATCGCTCAGAACTTTATTTAAATCGCAGACCAAAGTTGAAGTGATTCTGAAAAAAATAAACAAATAAACTTTACTTATAGGAGAACAAAAATATCAAGAGCAAAACAAAAGATAGTTGATAACAAATCAATTCTTGAAATGGATAACTTGTAAAGGTTATCCTTCATTCAATAACAAATTCAATTCTAAACCCACTTTACAATTTTCTCCCTCAACACACAAAACCCAAGCAAAGTAATTGATCTTATAGATGTACATTTGAAGTTAAATTGCAAATTTATCAAAGATTGTTTAATAGAAAATTAAAAATATAAAAAAATTTTACTTTTTTTTAAAAAGAACCTTGGGCAAATATGATAGTTTGATGTTTATGAAAGGGTAATATGATATTTTGGTGTTTAACAAGAGCATATATATGCAATTCTCCCACATATTTTAAATAAAGCAAAAATTATGTCATTCAAAAATAATAAAAAATCTAGAAACCTGGAGTCATGGTGTCCTTGATCGTGATCCATGTCTTGTGGCTCGTTCTCTGAATTAAAAAATTTAAAGTCAGTATAAAGTTTAATCAAACTCATCCTAATAAAACCTTAATCTTCAAACCAAAGGATTTACACCTAATTCTTTCAAGATTTCCAATCGATTTATGGATATCTTTTAATTATAATAATTTTGATGATCAAATTGTAGAGAGTGTTCCAAAGAGAAAGCCAGATGTCAAAACCCTACACCTTGATGACCGATCTAGGGTGTTGGCTGTTCCATTCTCCATAGAAGAAGGCATTACTGGTGTGTAAGTAATTAGAGAGTTACATAATTAACAAATCACAACTTAAAGATTTTAAATCAACTTCTTCTTTGCTAAGCGACTTGTTCTCTGTGTATCTATAATTCTAATTGAACATATTTAGAAGAAACTTTTGCAACAGAAACTAGGAATTGCATACAAACCTGATCCAGTCTTTTTTTCCCCATCCATCTGCGGTTGGTTGTCTTTTAAAGCCTAAATAAGAGTTCAAAAACCAAAGCCCAAAACAAATTCAACTGCCTTGTGATATAAATATGGATAATTAATTCACCAGATCCCACTTAAAATTGCCCAATCATTGTTAATTATTGATGCAGACTACATATGCGTATGCTTATGGTATGCATGTATACATGTACATAAACTATTGTATTCATACTTAAATTGTTATAAACTGACAAAATACATATTACATAATTCCTTACGTAAGAAAACTAATGTGTTCATCCTCATGTTCCTACATAATCATAGCAGCAAACATGTACAAAAGTCAAAGGTACAAAATGAGCTGAAGTCAAAGGTACAAAATGAGCTGAAGAAAGTTAAACAATACCAAACATACAGCAGATCCATGAATCACGCACATAAAACCATGAGAAAACAAATTTTACATTAATATTCGACTTATCTTGTCCCCCTTCAAACAAAGCCAAACTAAGATGAAAATGAAACAACTTTGTAAAGGCATTTTATCCGATAGTCAACAGCTCCTCCAAATAGGAATAAAAAAACTAATTTTTCGATCAATTTGAAACTTTTTTACGCCTAAATTTGATGCAAAATAAATAAACTTAATTTCTTCAGAGTCGATGAACCATGGAAACTTATACTGAAAAAGAAACACAGAAAACAAACCCTAGAAAATAACTAAACAAAACCATTGTCCTCGAATCGGGATCGGGATCAGTATCAGAAATCATACAGTAATGAAATTAGTAGACTCGGAAGATTGGGTTTTCACGATTACCGTTATTACATGAAGCAACCGTCCCCTGATTTGCCGGCTTCTCCTCCGCTCTACGCTGTACCGGAACCCTAAGGTGGAGATGGATCAATTTTTATAGGCGTAACATCAAACCCTAAACTTATCCCTGGGCCGTGGCCCATTGAACTTTTAAACAAATACCCAATCGACCAATAGCATAACTTCGACTTTGGCTCTTTTATTTGAGCCGGATGTGAGTTTACTAAATTTTTCTTGATTCTAAATAAATTCTTTGATAAAACAATAATAATAATAATAATAATAACTAGATGTGTTCCCCCGCGTTGCGGGGGTTGGAAGGTGTTGTTTTTGTGTACATGTATAGTAGATTGTCTTAATTGGTAGCCACAGTTAAGTATGTTGTTATTCTCTGCAATTCGCCCTTTTACAATTTTGATGCTTAAAATAATAAAAATAAAGGACATTGCCCTTTGCAGAAAAAAAGGATCCAAATTACATAAAGCTAAACATTCAAATGAAAATACATTGCTCTATTTTAGTTTTCTTGTTCTAAGATATGCAAAAAAACCCACTTTACATCAGACTTGCTGACGTGCACTTGACAGACTCATTAGTTCTTGATACATCCCACTAAATGTGGAAGAGCTACTGTCATTCAAGTCTGTTCCAACCACTAATTTCTTAACACCTCCTGAATAAAATCAACTATGTGAATTTTTAATGTTTATATTAAAAATAAAAAAAAGAATTTACTTGAGTCGTAGCGGTTCTTGTCCATTTAAATCTTCTTTCAAGTTCGGGTTGATCGATTCCATATTTAGCGGGGTCTCTAGCTGCCTCAGAAATAGCTTTCTCCAATTCATCCACCTTCATATCAGCAAAATAGATTTTCAGCCTACATTCTTAAATCTTTTATGGAATAACAAATTCTATGTTCAGATGCATACCTGCCATTCAATATATGAATATACGCGAATAGGCTTAAACCCAACTGAAAGTTGAACTACCAACGTTAAACCTAATGCATGCATCCTATAGTGGCAAACAAATACATATAAAATAACCATAGAGATAAATATAAATTGTTTAAATGCTTCAATTTAAATTGTATATCTAACGTTAGGCTTAAATGCATCTCTCTTAGCACTTGTGTAAGCCATTGATGTAGCAACTGCTGTTGCCCAAATTGTGCCTACATATACATTTTTGTCAAGACTCCATTATATTTTGTCGGTTTGATTATTCAAAAAAATCAAATCTATCATTATATTGAATAAAAGTTAAAGTTTATAAATTAAACTAACCAATGCTGGTAAGCTTGTGGTTTGAGACCCAAGATTGCAAGCCTTCCATTTGACCTGCATCATATTTCCAATTTTTTTGCTTCATAATATATAATATGAATAAACAAAAAGTAGAATGTCATTAATTTTTTTTTAACTGTTAGAAGGATGGACAGGGGGCAAATAGACCAACTGTTATCAAATAGACCAGCCATTTTATGACAAAAAAAAAAAAAAAAAAAAAAAACTTTGAATCATGTAATTTAGCCACTGAACTATTTTTTTTTAGATTTTCATCATAATAGTTCTGTGGCTAAATCGTAAAAAAACTAAGAGTTTAATGACTAAATCAATAAAAAAATATTAGTGTAGTGGCTTAATTAGTAAATAAAATTTTTAGATGATAAAAAAAGTATAATGGTAAAAATAAGTTTGTTTTTTTTTTTTGTAATTTTTATAATATCAAATCAGGCCAATTTTGAGACAGTAAAAGAAAGTATAATGGTTTAATGACTAAATAAAACAGGTAAATGACAAAATCAATAAGATTATGAAAGTACATGTGGGGTTTTTTTTTTTTTTGTATTTCTCTAAAAATATAACAATACCACTATCAACAGTCCATTTTGATTAGTATAAATTAGAAGGCAGATGGTAATATGTTTTCAAAAGCATACTTTTAAACACCTTACTTCAACTTCTTCCTATTTGAGATTTCTATCATCAATGTTTAACACATGTAAAAGTCGTGATGGAAGTACAGAGAAAAAGGTGGGTAAGGGTAATCTTGTCATTTGGCTTTAGCAAATCATTTTCGCAATGTCAATGAAGCCTTCATTCCTATCATCTGTAACTTTTTTAAAATAATAAACAATAAAACCTTTTCTTTAATATTTAAAAAGATAATAAATAAAAAACACTCACCATTAAGTTCCATTTCGTTTGTAGTCTTCCTCAAAACTCCATTACCAATCTGTTGGCCTAGACTCTTAGCTTCTGTATAAGCAAAACACACATCTGGGAACAATCCAATTCCATTTTTTGGCATTGCAAGAACACATGTCTGGTAGAGTAAAAAAATTACATTCTAATTTTAAAAACATTATGAAAATGTTTATAGATCATAGTTCCATATATTTTTATTTGTAATTTGTTTCTGCAACTTGTGTGTATGGTTCTTCATGTCTATTTGGATTTTTCTTTTTTCAGATAAATTCATATTTTTGCATGTTTACTCATGAAGTCCTAATATTCTTGATAAGAAAAAAGCGGTAGATTGTCGGTGGGAAAAACAAAAACGGAGGGTTCTTTGAAAGTAGTTATTCATTTAGAAGGAAAATTTTCTAAGTTTAGTTGAAAAATTAGTCTTATTGGAAAGTCTTAAAATTCTATAAAATTTGATGGTTAGATTGCATACTGAGTATAGTATTCAAATAACATTAGTAATTTAGTATTATATGTATAATACTGAAAACAAAGATTTGTACCAATTCATAAAAGAAAATAAAAGAATGACTGAATGAGTACATAACTTATTCTTGAGTAATTAAACAAAACCTTCACAGGTGACATCTTCATTATCATGTAGTCTAGTCATTCAATTCTGCACTTTTCATAATTCCATTATAATCTAAGATTTTAGATAATAAGAATATTTACAGGTATGAACTGAAAGTAATGTCCTGTTATATTACCTAACCATGAAAACAGACAGCGGTAGAAATAAGTGATGACTGATGCCTGCAAAAAAGTCATCCCTCCGACACCCATCATATTGCCAGTGATGGAAACAATAAACCAACTCTTGTTTCCGTATCCAACAACCTTTAGTTTTATCCATGACAATCTTGTTTTAGAGATGAAGGAGGATTATCATTATGGGTCTCATCAAGCAATTTAACAAACATTAAGATGAAATCTGATCACATGCGTCCCTTTTTCAAGCATCTCAATTATGCCACTACAAACACCAAAAGATAAAGTTTAGATAAAGAAGTAGGATGAATATTTGATACCCCAAAATACAAAAATCATAGGAAAAATTGAATTTTACCTCTTTCTAAGTTCATGTCATCGTAGATGAATGTAAAAAGGAGAAATTTACCAAATTGCCCCTAAAAATCAAATAGACACAAAGTCTAACCTGCTCAGATCCTGTAATTGTTGTATTTTATTTATCTGAATCTTCCAATTGCTTGCGTCTTTGTTCACTACACCCTTGAAATTCACCAAATTTCTTCTCTAAATTTGAATCAAACAGACCCACCCACATCTTCCTTCCGACCACCCGTTCAACACCCAAAATACTTGTACAAAGACAGAAAACAGAAATAATAGACGAAAACGTACCTACGGATGGCAGAAAATAGAGGAGGAGTTGATGTAAAGTTAAATTTCCAAACCAAAAAAAATATTAATCTCCAGTTAACTTGAATCGATTAGTCAAATCATTTACCTTGTGGTCAGGATCGATTAATTAGATGAGGAAGAGAACATCTAGGGTTCGACCGGACGACTTCCAATAGAGACGGAGGCAGAAGCATGATGTAGATGAAGTGGTTGAAACATTTGACAGTGTTGGCATACGAAAACATGAAGGTGGTGGACTGAAATAAGATAAACATCGGAAGCGAGAAGAAGCTCAAATCGAGTGAGCCCTGCAACTAATGAAGTACTAACCTTCAATCAACTGACCCCTGCAAAGTAATAGACTTCAAAATAAGCTTTTGATGGAGATTATAAGCGGTGACGTTGTTTCTTCCTGCTTCACTGTCGGTCAAGTCCATCGTCTACACCTCAGTCATTCTTTTCCACTCGCTCACAACACATACCTGGTGGCATAATGGTGGTCATTGATTCTCAATTCAAAGTGGAGATGGACATACAGACGATCAAAATCAGTTTAGGGTTTTTGTTGGGAACCCCCGGTCACCGCTCGTTTCGTCGTTCTTCACCAACAGGAGGAATGACATCGGCTGAGCCGGTAAATGGGGTGACGGTGGCTCGTGGTAAGGAAGAGGAGCCGACTTTTTCTTAAAGAGAGAGAAAGATAGAAGGGTAAGGAAGAGAAGTCGAAGGGTTGTCTCCAAGCTTTCCAAGACAGAGTTTGAAAAGTGGTATATAGAGCAGATAAGAAAAAAGCGGTAGATTGTCGGTGGGAAAAACGTAGCATCAGACATGTATCTAAGCGGTGGAACAGAGTAACCCGAGGTAAAAGAGAAGATGACACGTTTGCTGAATGAACAGTGGTGGTGAAAGAGAAGAGAACACGTTTGCTGAATGAACAGTGACGTTGACGATCCATGGACTGAACATTAAAAACTGTTATTCTTACAAGGACAAAATTGCTATTTCAATAAATAGGTGGACCAATTCCGATTTACAGCAAATAAAAGGGACCAGTTTTGCCAATCCCTTAGCCACTTTACTGTAGCTAAGGGTGGAGAATTTTAATATATATAATATATATACGATCCATGGACTGAACATTAAAAACTGTTATTCTTACAAGGACAAAATTGCTATTTCAATAAATAGGTGGACCAATTCCGATTTACAGCAAATAAAAGGGACCAATTTTGCCAATCCCTTAGCCACTTTACTGTAGCTAAGGGTGGAGAATTTTAATATATATATATAATAAACACTTAATCACTTCAGCCTTTGTTCCAACTTTCCGGTCTGATTCTCACAGATGACTTAATACTTAAATTGTGATTAAGCCTAACAAGGTGTTCCACGTAACATTGCATTCTTTGCACGTGGCTACAAACCAAATCTTCGTCCTTAATCTAGCATGCCATGAAGGGGTGTTGTTATTCACACCCAATTTATACAATGTCAAAACCATTTTACAAAAAGCAAAACCACTTTGACTTAAAACCCCAAATTGAAATGACATCCCTTTTTTCTTCACATTGTTTTTTTAATCGTAATGTTTCTACTTTCTTTAATTAGTTAAAAAAATTAGAATGATTAATAATTATTAATTATTGATATGCATATATTAAATTATCGTGAACAAAAAAGTAACTAAATACAAAAGAGACACAAGTAATATAAAAATAAAGTATCACTTTAGCTATAAGTTTATATTTAATAATTTTCTAACTATTAACTTGGTTATTTATTTCTAAATAACTACTATATTTGATAAAACATAAATTAGAAGATCAAAGCATAATGTTTGAAAGTTGATAACGGAATGACGATAGGATGGTTAGTCTTAACGTTTTAAAAAACAGTTTGAACCGGTTCTATCGAGAATCGGGTAAGTAAGCAATCATCAACTAACATCGGTTTTATAGACAGATTCCTTATACCCCTCTTATAGATTAGCTTCGTGAATTAGGCATACTAACGACTCTTTCTTAACAAGTCTTCCTTTCAATTACTAGGTTTTAAGGGAACTCAAAAAGGACTTTGTCACTATTAATTCAAGTATACCAATTTTAGTTATGGGCTTAGACACATAATCCAACAATAACTAGCTATACAATAACTAAAATTAATAGCAATTATAATATCCTAGCATTTTAACCTGTATCCCCCCCCCCCCCCCCCCGAAAACAGTTTGAAAATGGGGTCGTGAACTCACCGCAGAGCATGAAACCACTGATGTAGGGTAGAAATCCATGAGACCGGAACTTCGAAAGATAATCGAGTAGGAGTGGCACGCAAAACAAGGTAGAAAGAGAGTGAGAGTTTAAAAGGTGTGAGGAAAGGATTGATCAGAGCTCCCTATTTATAGGGGTTTTTGATGTGCGCGTCGGGCAGTGCGCACCAGCCATCCTGGTGCTGACACGTGTCCTTATCCTATGGTGTAACGTCATCCCGTATCCAATCGAATCATGTGTCAGAAAGCACGTTGGGCACTGCACGCAGGCGTGCACGCAAGTAAAAAAAGAAGTTTGTAAATTTCATATCTCTCACATACGAATTCCGTTTTCAATGACTTTTATCTATTCGCAAAGATCTTGACGAGCACTACAACTTTCATTTTGGTCATTTTGGCTAGTTTTAACTTGTTTTTCGACCAAAATTTCTAATCGTTAAAATAATAACTCTCTCGCATGATATCTATTTTAGTTGTTCGTTATCTCATAATTTCTACTTTTTGGTGTAGTACGTTTTTCCTTTTGGCGACATTCTTTAAAAGTCGACTATTCTCTTCGTAGTTTTCGTCGTTGTAATTTCTTACCAACGGTAGATCTATATTTGCTATAATTGTTATATTCCTCTTATTTTAAGTTGGATTTCTACGAAAATTATATTTTTGAGATCGCGGTAATGCGTATATCTTAAAAATATTAACCTGCTCTCAAAGTGACGTAACTTTCTGTGCACTTTATCTTTGAGCCTAATGTTGACGTATATAAGGATGAAGAAGTTGATAGCATCTAGAATGTAGGGTTACAAGGGCGCCCTATTATCACTAGATCCTATTAGGGCTGTTAAAATTGTACCATGGAAAACCAACCAACATGTTACCAACCGAACCAAGAAACATGGTAGCCAATATATTTGGTAGCCAACATGTTTGGTTGGTAGTACCATACCAATTGATCAATGTTGGTACTGTAATGGTACAAAAATTGGAATACCATGATAATACCGTACCAACCAATTCATTTGATACATATATATATATATATATATATATATATATATATATATATATATATATATATATATATATATATATATATATTTCAACTGTTAATTGTATTTAGTGTACACAGTTTTAATAACATTATATTAGTCATTTGGTCGTATTAGTCAATAGTTATTACCACGTTAAAGCACAATATTAAAACGTTACTTTAGCGTTACTTCAATAGAATTCTTTTGTAAACTAAAAGAACTACGTAACTAATTTCTATACTACACATCAAAATCCCGATGTCTTTGCTTATTTTTAAATCTTATAAAAGAAAATTAAAAGAAGTTGGTATATACTATTACCAATTTGTACCAACCAAACTTGTTGGTAGCCAAATAAATTGGTACCAAGTATTCTTGGTACGGTACCGGTAGCAATTTTTTTATACCAATTATAGTTGGTACGGTACACGGTTTAGAGAAAAATGAATTGGTACCGTACCAATTCCACCCCTAGATCCTATGGTGGTTGATGACGTATTTCTCTTGATTGTCATAAGTTGTAAGATACATGCTTTTAGTTTATTGGAAATTCTTGATATCTTTTCTACAAAAATCTTCAGGTCAATGCATCACAATTCCCATGGTTGGAAGACATCTATTTTTTTCAAATTTCCTCTTTGTCCTACAACATGTTGTTCCCTGACCCATCAAACATCAAAAAAAAAAAAGTTATGTGCAACACACGTGCCTCTTTATTAGTTCAAGATAAATCATCATTTTGCACCACATTTATTTAAAACCTCCACAACCCTTCAACGTTTAATTAATTAATCACATCCGTTGAAAAGATTTTTTAACTTGATTTTTATAATTATTAAGTTAATGACATTTAATCTTTGATCTTTTATTTTTCTCTCATTTATACATGTTGTATGCATATTAATAGTATATAATTAAGAATTTGTTACAAAAACATTTATGTTGTTGAATAAGTTAATGATTCAAATACGAAGACTTGAAGAATGACTTTTCCCGCATCCATGGTTACTTCAACACGAAATTTTCTTGATATAATTATGTTTGAGATGAAAGGTATATTAAAGATCAACAACCTTCCTTGTTATAGAAAAATATAAATTGTGTTTTTAGAATTTTTTTGATTTTTTTATAGACTTTATAAGTGTTTAATATGTTTTTGAATGCAAATATGATAATGGCTGTTTGTTTTAGTGCTTCTATGTTATTGAAATTTATATTATCTTTATTTGTTTATGTTATTTATTATATATAGAAATAATATATTTTAGATATTTGTATCAAGGCTTGAAGAAATGAGTCCATACTTATTACCTAAATTTTTCTTGGTATACTAGTGTTTGAGATTAAAAGTAAATTAACGACCAATAACTTTCTATATTATGAATTTTTTTTTTGAAATTGATGATATATTTTTATTCCCTTTATAAGTGTTTAATATATATTTTGAATACGTCTTAGTGTTTTTTATGTATTAAAAGTTGGTATTTATTTTCACTATTTGTTATTTGTAATACATAAAAATTAACATACATTAATGAGTGTACAACTTGACACATCATAATGTTCCATGGTAAATTTGAAAACATTACAAGGATGTTTTGGATTTCTTGTTGGGTACCAAACATTCTGGAGAAACGAATTCAGCCATAAACAGCAACTTCATCTCATCCCAAGTAAACTTGCGATTATCAACTTGCATGCTTAAATTTTGGATACCGTGCCACCATCTGAAAGCCTCTCCTTGCTTTGGCAATGTGTTGAATACAAGTTCAGCTTTGTCATACCCTGACAACGGAAAAAAACACCTGAAAGAGCTTTCTACTCCCTCTATCCATTTACAAAAACCTTGTAGATTGATTATCAAACTTCTCAGGGAAAGATGGTAGACGATCCTTTGGGCCTCTTTTAACTTCATTTGGGCCTATTTCAACTTCTGGCTCTGGCTCTAGCTCTGGCTTTGGCAGTAGACCATATCTTTTGAGACGCTCTTCAATAGTGTGTGCACTAGCGTCCAGACCTTTGAGTGTGTTTGACATGGACTCAATATCATTCATAATTTTTTTTATATTGTTGGCCAACAAACCCAAACTATCTACGCGGAAAAATATAAACAAATGTACTTTACTTATACAACCATAAAAAGCTCAAGTGCAAAAAATAAAAAAGAGATAGTTGATAACAAATCAATTCCTTCTCAAAATTTTCCCTGAATTCATTAACATATTCAGTTCTAAACCCCCTTTACAATTTTCTCCCTCACACACAAAACCCTAGCAAAATATTGGAATAGAACCCTTCTTCCAATACTTTCTTTTAGACAGGTGTTTGAAGTTAAATTGCAAATTTATCAAAGTTTGTTTAATAGAAAATTAATAAATATAAGGATTTAAAAAGATCATAAATTTTTTTTAAAAAATGGGAATTTGGCAAATATGATATTTTGATGTTTAACAAGAGCATATATATGCAATTCTCCCACACATTTTAAATAAAGCAAAAATTATGTCATTCAAAAATAATAAAATTTTCTAGAAACCTGGAGCCATGGTGTCCTTGATCTTGATCCATGTCTTGTGGCTCGTTCCCTGAATCAAAAAATTTAAAGTCAGTATAAAGGTTTATTTTTTTCAACACCATATTCTAATCTTGGAATAAAATTTAATCAAACTCATCCTAATAAAACCTTAATCTTCCAACCAAAGGATTTACACCTTATTCTTTCAAGATTTCCAATCGATTTATGGATATCTTCTAACTATAATAATTTTGATGATCAAATTGTAGAGAGTGTTCCAAAGAGAAAGCCAGATGTCAAAACCCTACACCTTGATGACAGATCTAGGGTGTTGGCTGTTCCATTCTCCATAGAAGAAGGCATTACTGGTGTGTAAGTAATTAGAGAGTTACATATTTAACAAATCACAACTTAAAGATTTTAAATCAACTTCTTCTTTGTATATCTTTTATATACAAGGATGGATAAGTGCTAAGTGAGTATCTATAATTCTAATTGAACATATTTAGAAGAAACTTTTGCGACAGAAACTAGCAATTGCATACAAACCTGATCCAGTCTTCTTTTCCCCATCAATCTGCGGTTGGTTGACTTTTGAAGCCTAAATAAGAGTTCAAAAACCAAAGCCCAAAACCAATTCAACTGCCTTGTGATATACATATGGATAATTAATTCACCAGATCACACTTAAAATTGCCCAATCATTGTTAATTATTGATGCAGACTACATATGCTTATGCTATGCATGTATACATGTACATAAACTGTTGTATTCATACTTAAGTTGTTATAAACTGACAAAATACATATTACATAATTCTTTATGTAAGAAAACTAATGTCATAATCATAGCAGCAAACATGTTCAAAAGTCAAAGGTACAAATGAGCTGAATAAAACCAATCAAGAGAGTTAAACAATACCAAACATACAGCAGATCCATGAATCACGCACATAAAACCATGGGAAAACAAATTTTACATTAATATTCGACTTTTCTTGTCCCCCTTCAAACAAAGCCAAACTAAGATGAAAATGAAACAACTTTGTAAAGGCATTTTATCCGATAGTCAACAACTCCTACAATTAGGAAAAAAAACTAACTTTTCGATCAATTTGAAACTTTTTTACGCTTGATGCGAAATAAATAAACTTAATTTCTTCAGAGTCGATGAACCATGGAAACTTATATCAGAATGAAAAAGAAACACGGAAAACAAACCCTAGAAAATAACTAAACAAAACCATTGTCCTCGAATCGGGATCGGGATCAGTATCAGAAATCACACAGTAATGAAATTAGTAGACTCGGAAGATTGGGTTTTCACGATTACCGTTATTACGTGAAGCAATCGTCCCCTGATTTGCCGGCTTCTCCTCCGCTCTACGCTGTACCGGAACCCTAAGGTGGAGATGGATCAATTTTTATAGGCGTAACATCAAACCCTAAACTTATCCTCTGGGCCGTGGCCCATTGAACTGTGAAACAAATACCCACTCGACCAATCACATAACTTCGACTTTGGCTCTTTTATTTGAACCGGATGTGAGTTTATATAAAATTTTCTTGATTCTAAATAAATTTTTTGATAAAACAATAATAATAATAATAAGCACTTAATCACTTCAGCCTTTGCTCCAACTCTCCAGTTCACAAATGACTTAATACTTAAAGTTGGCAACTTTACTTACATACATGGCTTAATGGGACTTTAGAGCTTAAAAGAGCTTAATGAAAGGTCTTAACACATGCATGAGTCCAACTAAACCATAATGATCACATTTTTATGCCTTTGGGACACCCAAAACATCCAGATCCACGATAACAACTTCTAAAACAACTAAAACTCACAAGAACCACCCAAAAGAGGCTAAAATGACTAAGAACAAACCCAAAAGAAGATCTATGAAATGAGAAGACAAGATCATAGCTTTTTACCTCCAATAGATTGCAAAAGATGAGAACTTTCTGGATCTACAAGCTCCCTCCAGGAAATGAGTCATCAACTTTCTTCTTATCTTACACAAATCATCATAAACACTCATCTCCAAGGTCCAAAAGCTTACTCAAGGCACTCTAGGGTTTCATGAACGTCAAAAGAGGTGGTGGCTGACTTAAAATGACCAAAGGGGTGGTATAATGTTGCTTATATAGGGTAGGAACCCCGAAATTAGGGTTTTGCTCTAAATGGGGTACCCCCCGCGTACCCCTTAGTACGCCCAGCGTACACACAAACCACCTGCAACCCACATTGCCTTATACGTTGGGCGTACCCAGCCAAACGCGTGCATGCACCCTCGCATGCATGGGGCTGATCTGCCAAATATTTCCATTAGGGGCCACATTTGCCAATATCTTCAAAATGCCATAACTCCCTCATCCTAAGTCTGTTTCCAACGAACCTTTTATCCACGTAAAGGTGGCGAGAAGCCCTACTGTGACAACCCGAAATTTCTAGCTTGTGCAATCATACATCATTTCTATCCAAGTTAGCCTCGTTTTGCTATCTTTTAACGCAGTCTTGGGTCTATGTGAGTGCTTTAAGCCTAGTATAACCTAGATATGGGTCTTAGGAAGGGTTTGTGAGTGTGAGGCATCTTGAAATTGAGCCAAACACACCAAACATGGTGTGTACGGCCGCACACCTGAATGTGCGGCTACCCAGCCGCACACACCCAATCGTACACCCTCTCAGCCTTACACTCACACCTATATATAGGAGCCTTGGCTGACTTTAAACCCATTTCCCACTCCTTCAAAGCTGGAACACGTTTTCTCTCAAGAACCGCCAAGATCTCCCTCTCATTCTTCAATCAGGTAAGTATACTATCTTAGATCATTGGTGCATCACCCTAGCTTACCTTCTTCATGGATTTAAGCCTTAAGATCACCACCTTCTTAAGATCTTCATGTGTGTACGGCCACACACGCCATGTGTGACCGCACACACTATTTTAGCCCCTAAAATGGCCTTAAACACCCATCCAAGCTTAGCAACGGCCAAAACACTGTCCTTAGAACACCCTCATGGCTTGGAAACACGATTTGGACACACTTCTTAGGGAGTGTGCGGTCGCACACATGCCAGGCCGCACACCTTGGCCATACACCTGGCCGCACACACCCAAAAGTCAAGTTTTGGTGGCCTTACACTCCTATCTAGAGCCATACACTCTTGAAGTGCATCAATAGGTGTTGATAACACTTAATTCTAAGTATTTCTATGTCCCTAAGGCGTGTCCATATGTCTATTAGTGGTTTTATACCCTAAATGTATTCATATATGTGTAATTACATGTTAAATAGGATTTGTTTGTGCTCAAGACTCATTTGACACCCGACAATCCTATATCGATCTTTCATTCGAGTTACTCACTTCAGGTGAGTTCATACCTCTAAATCAACCTTTGAAATGATTTTAAATGCTTTTATGGGGGGGAATACAAGTTGAATTATTAAGTTATTATATCAATCACATGTGATCAATAACTGTCAATCAAATAGATTTTTATACTTTTCAAAATGTGTTATCAAACAACTGTTTTCTAAACTCTTTTCAAACTCTTTTAATTACTAAACCTTTTATTAAACTCTTTTAAACTTATATTATTATTAAATTCATGTCTATACATATATAGTTATATAAGTAGGATTTGAAGGACTTAGGACTGATAGCCCACTTTATTTCATGTTCCTTGTTTGGTTGTGGACTTAGAGTACCCAGTTATTTATCCGAAGGTCGTTGAAATCTTAGTTATATATTATGTATATGTGTATAGATATAAAAGTTTTTACTTCAGTTCCATGCCTTTGGGGTAGCAAAGGTATGCAAAAACGCTAAAGCATACAAACAACAGTTCAAGTAAACTATAATATGTATTGTTTAGGAGATCACTACTTACTATTACAAGAACATACTATGATGAGAAACAAACATAACTTGCTATGATGAGGAACAAACAAGAACATATACATATACAAGTACAGAGAAGATAACATATACATATACAAGTACAAAGAAGAGAACATATACATATACATATACATTTACAAGTAAATAGAAGGAACATACACGAACATAACATTTAGAGTATGAGATACATCCTCATGACGCGGATTTCACCGTTGTCACGTTGGTAACCAGAGTCTCCTGGAGGGAGAGCGGGCATTGTGTGTATAGATCTATACGAGACAGACCATCCCACACCCTGACTGCTAGCTACAGTCCCCAGCCGACCAAGCCAAGGGGTGACAAATGTCACATTTATTTCGACACCAGCAGGTCGTCGTGTTTCATCCGTTAATCAGTATGATTACGAGTATCTTTACATTTACCTTATAATTCATTGGCTTTAAGGTAATTAGTACTACGGTAGTTACCACATACAAACTACAGTACTATAATATTTTCCCTAACACATATACCATGGAACGTTTTCACAATAAACGATAATGTGCAAACTATATTTTGATAATAATAGTAATACTCGGGAAAAATGCATACTCTTATAGATAAACAAACAGAACATTTGGGTCTTGGTAGAAGACTACATTTTAGTAGAAAATATGGGATTTTCTGGGGAGATACGAACATTTTACAAACAGTTTACAAAACATTTACAATGAATCTTTCACTACAACAAACACTTACAAACTTTTACTACAAACATTTTCGGTGAACATTTTCAACCTACATTTTACAACATCAATGACACTAAATACTTATGAACTCACCAGCTTAAATCCTGATCCTCTTTCAAAATAACTTGTATTCTCAGGTCGACAGTAGACAGGTATCGATGGCCAGATTTTGAGAAGAGGGAGTATATTCAAAGCTCGTCATTATTTTGATTCTTTTGGTGTCTTATTTATACTACAGAATACACATTGATAAATTATTATATTAATGCAATGGATGATGTTGTTGCTTGTTTACTACTTTACATTGTTATGATACTGTACATGACGTCCTCCGCCCCCGAATGTTTCCGTCAATTCGGTTTGGGGGTGTGACAAATTGGTATCAGAGCATTGTTTATAGTGAATTAAGTATATCAACCCATAAAAGATATACAAACTATAAATATTATGGGATAAAATACTCTGAGCAAGAGTTATACTTTTAAATATTAAAATATTTAACTAAGTATACATACAAACATACTAAAACCAGAAACATACTAAGAACATAACAGAAGTATTAAGATTGTTGGACAGCACGAGTAGGCTTGAGTACAAATAATCAAAGTTGGGACTGATAGAGCCTGATCAACTGTATCTTTTCGAGGGTTGATTAGCATGTGCTTGAGAATGATTGTGATGTTGCAGCAAGTCTAAAAACTTACCAACACTACTATAATGAAAACATGAGAACAGTCGATAACTTAAAATACTATAGGAGTATTTTGTGTAACTGTAACAACTTATCTGAAAACTAAATAGGTCTTTATTAGTAGGTCAATGGCTGCTAAGTGGATACACTAAGGTTATATGTGACGAAGATGTTATAGACTCGGAATATATGATCTTTGCTTCATTTCCTGTTCCTTGTTTGGTTGTGGATTTGGAGTTAGGTTCATTTATTCGAATGACTATTATGTTTTAGTTACATGTGGCTGGTATGCACTATGCAACTATTGAAGTAACTGATAAAGATCATCTTAAAACTTTCCTTAGATAGATCATCTGTTATCTAATTTTTCTATTCCCCATTCTCGCATAGATTTCATGGCTGGATTCCATCTCCCCGGCGACCCGTACTTTCCCAATCAAGGAAATGTCGGATGGCTCGAAGAGGACCCAGAAGAGAATCAAGTGATTCCCTTGGAAGATGAATCAGCTGAAGACCTTCCGGAGAATTCAGACTCAGAGCCGAAAGTTAACAACCTACCTCTGGTAGTCGCAATTCCGAGTCCCAATACTCGTCCTGGATTTCAAGGACCCACACCTCTGTGGGCAACATACTTGAACCGATGGAGTCACGATCAAGGTCAACCCTTACCCTACCACGGAGACAGAAGCTACTACAATCTGAGTGAGGGAGGCTCAGCAGACAGGGCTTTGCCTGTCCTGGTTCGCAGAGTAACTCGAAATGACGAGCAGGGTCGAGCAGCCATCAATCGAGTCATAGAGGTTGATGCGAATGCAGGGGTCAATACTGTCCGCATTCGTTAGCTGGAAAGTGCTCATGGGAGAACCCAGAACCAAAACGCGGCCCTACGCGAAGAGATCAATGCAACCCGAGCTGAAGTCGGAGAACTTCGAGCTCGCCAGACCATCTCTGAAAGACGCTTGCGTGACTTGGAGCGTCGTCTGGCTGGATCCAGATCTCATCCAAACCGTTCCCGTCGTTAGTAGAGTCTACTCTACTTCCTCTTTTAATTATATAGGATCTATGTAATAGCTCCAGTTCTAAATTTCCTGTCTAAGATAAGACTTTAAAATCTGTAGTTCGTAAGTCTTCGTTCTGTCGGAATTTTCTCATGATGGTTGATGTAAGGCCTCTTATAAGGACAATTTTCCTTAAAAATATTTACATCATTAATACCAATATTCGACAGACTCTCAATCCTGTAGGAAATTTCTTTTCAAATGCCCTCAACTGCTTGTCATTGTTCTTTCTACTAAATTCTTATCATCATCTTGCGTTTGTAAACTTTTAGTCAAAGATGCCGCCTCGCAAAACTCCTCGCAAACGTCCTGCCGCTAATCCACCAGTTGTTCAAACTCCAGCGCCGCCTCCTCCGCAGTTTGATGCCGCGATGTTCCAAACGGCAGTAACTGCAGCTGTTAACACAACAATGTCCCAGATAAACTCCGGTGGTTCCAGTGGAGCTGGAACGGGTGTGAATTCTGCTCAAGGCGACATCAGTCAGTCGCATGCACGGGAATGCACCTATAAGGACTTCATGAACTGCAAACTGAAATTCTTCAATGGAACCGGAGGAATCATCGCACTATCGCAATGGTTCGAACGAACCGAATCGAGGAATTGGGTCATTTTGGGGGATATCAGAGCATAGGAGAGCACTTTTGGAGAGAAGAATTTGAAGGTTTCAGCAAGGGTTTGTCCATTAATCATTTGGAAACATTTTGATTTCATCTTTGTAAGCCCTTTAGCACTTTAATTTCCTTCTAGACTTGTTAATCTTGTTCTAGCCATGTGTGGCTAGAACCCTAACTTCTCCAATTTCATGTTTTGACTTTTTGGGTTCTGAATCCAATCATATGACCTGATGTTTGTGTTTAATTTCTATCTAGTGAAAGTTATTTTATTTCAATCGAATGTTTGATTCTAATAATGATTC